TCACATCCACTCCCGACAGTACACAAGTGGTCATCATACAGGTGAAGTTTGGGTCTCCCCTTGGTTCCCACTGCGCCTGGTTTGGGATCAGGCACCTTCGTTGATGTTTTGTGCCCTCCCACCTCACTCCCTCCCCTGGCAGTGTCCAGCCACTGCCAATCCCCTTCTTATAGTATTATGATAAATGTTCAGGGTCCACTTATGAGTGAGAACATATGGAACTCAGTTACTTGTTTATGTGATAGATCACTGAGTATAATAGACTCTAAATCCATCCAAGTTGCTGCAAAGTCTGTAATTTTGTCCTTTATGTCTGTGTAGGAGCATTCTTAAAACAGGAAATGCAAGCACTGCCGTCTCCATCTTTCCAGGAGTAGATAAAAAACATCAAATGTAGCCGGGCTGGGTGGCTCAGCCTGTAATCCCACGCTTTTGGGAGGCTGAGGTGAGTGGACTGCCTGAGCCCGCGGGTTCGAGACCCGCCTGGGCAGGTGAGACCTCATCTCTACCATAAATCAAAAAATCAGCCGGGCGTGGTAGCGCACGCCTGTAGTTCCAGCTACTCGGAAGGCTGAGGCGGAAGGATCGCCGGCGCCCAGCAGGTCGAGGCTGCGGTGGCTGCGAGCGACCACTGCACTGCAGTCTGGGAGACAGTGAGACTCCGACTCAAAAAAAAAAAAAAATCAAATGTGTGGGTAAGGGTGGCACAAAGTAAAGTACATGTGTCTTTATATCATAGCTCCAAATGAGTAAGATGGTAAAATTCCAGGCCTATGAAAAATGAAAGCAACCTTTTTTTTTCTTTTTTTTTTTGAGTTGGAGTCTCACTCTGTCGCCCAGACTGGAGTGCAGTGGCCGCTCCCGGCCACCGCAGCCTCGACCCGCTGGGCTCCGGCGATCCTTCCGCCTCACCCTTTCAGGTAGCCGGAATTACAGGTATACGCTACCACTCCCGGCTGATTTTTTGATTTATTGTAGAGATGAGGTCTCGCTGCCCAGGCAGGTCTCGAACCCGCGGGCTCAAGCAATCCACTCACCTCAGCCTCCCAAAGGCGTGGGATTACAGGCTGAGCCATCGAGCCAGCTCAAACTTATTTGTTTACCATTCTTTCTCCCATCTTCATCCGTCCTTCTCGGCTCAAAAAACATTATTTTTGTAGTAAGTCCTAATTTAACAGTTCTTTTGATGAGAATTTATTGTTGATTAATTCCTTCAGATTTTGATGTGTTTGAAAATGTTTTATTTACTTTTTAATTCTGGAATAATATTTTAGCTGACTATAGAAGTCTAGGTTAGCAATTATTATCTCTCAGCTTATCAGAGCCACATCATAACTATGTTCTGAATAAAAGAGAGGCAATTCCACTCTGCAACCACAAAAATGACCTAACATCCCCTCTGACTAACATGAGTAATTATTGCTTTTTGGGGGGACAATTTTGGGATCCAATCCTCGTTAATCTTCTTCCTTGATAGATAAAAATTATTTTGATACCCAATGAATGAGATGCCCCTGCTTCTTAATAACATACAATCCAAAGTTAGCCCTCTCTATTCTTATTTATTTATGTGGGTTTTGGTAGAGACAAGATCTCACTATGTTGCCCAAGCTGGTCTCAAACTCCTGGCAACAAGTGATCCTCCTGTCTTGCCCTCTCAAAGTATCTGAATTACAGGCATGCATCACTGCACTCGTCCAGCTCTCACTATGCTAAACTCTAGTTCAGAAATATCCAACAGAAGCCCAAACTCTATAAAAGTTTCCTCCTAACCTTCCCTTAGTGAAATGGTCACATAGTTCCTTTGGAGCATTCTCTCCCTTGCTACAGCAAGCCAAATAAACCCAACTCTCTTGACCATACGTTTGTTCCCAGTGTTGTTTGGTTGATGGGCTCCGACAAGGATAATAGTCAATACCAATTAACTATGTGAAAAATATTTAGTGTGTCTGTGTGTATATATGTGTTTATATGTAATACATGACATTTTAATATAAGAATATATTAAATATTTTATATATAAATATCATTTAGATATATATAGAAACCACAGATGACTCAGGCTTTAAAATTTTATTAGGGAAATTTACAAACATTTACAAAAGAAAGAGACTACTATAACGAATCCCTGTGTATTCATCACCCAGTTTCAACAATTATCAATTTCATGTTTCAATGTTTTATCATTACACCAACCCACTTCTCCCCTTACCCCAGATTATTTGGGGAAAAAAATCTCAGGTATCATATCTTTTTATCTGCAAATATTTCAAGACATCTCTCTCAAAGATAAGCAATCTGTTTTTTAAAAAAGCACCACTTATCACAGCAACTTTAACAATAATTCCTTATAAATCATCAAGTATCCAGTAAGTACTCACCAACATTTAAATTTCCCCAACTGTCTCATTTGTGTGTTGTTGTTCTCTTGAACTTGGATCCAATAAAGTCTGTTTGATGTCTCTTAAGTCCTTTTTAGTCTATAGCTTCCCTCTTCATCTTTTATTTTCTTCAATTTATTTGTTAAAGAACACAAGTCATTTGTCCTGTAGAGTATTCTCACCGTCTAAATTTGCACCTCAGAAGTATCATTTGATGTCTCCTGGTATGTTCTGCAAATTAGTACTTAGCTCTAGAATGGAGTTTGATCAGATTCAGACTGAAGTCTCTTTTTGCATAGCTACTTCATAAAAGTTGGAGTTATGTACTCCATCTATACTCAAAATGTACAAAATGTTTGTCTCTCTACAGTAGCTAGCAGCCATTGTTGATCATTGCCTCAATACGTTAATTAATTAGGAATTACAAAATGTTGATATTCTAATTATGTTATTCCTTCTTAATTTATTTATTGAAATACTTTTATAAAGAGAAATGGTCCCCTTATCTTGAGATAGAGTTCCCATAGGAAAACCAGGATAAATACTTGATTCTTTCCAATTACTAGCAGTTTTTTGTTTGTTTGTAAACTGTTTGTTTTGTTGAGTTGGAGTCTCAGCCTTCCAAGTAGCTGGAACTACAGGTGTGTGCCACCACGCTCAGCTAATTTTTTTATTTATTGTAGCGATGAGGTCTCACAAAGTTGCCCAGGCTGTTCTTGAACCCATGGGCTCAGGCAATCTTCTTGTCTCAGCTTTCCAAAGTGCTGGAATTACAGGCTTCAGCCACCACACCTGGCTGCTAACAGTTTTTAGTTTATCTGCTAGCATTCTCCAACAATGACCAACAAGTTTGTATTTTTAAGTATCATTGTGATCATGGATTTGAATATATTTGATGTGTTTCAATCCACTGCAGATAGTATCCATCTTGATACTCAAATTGTCCCAGCTTTGGCCAGTGGGAATAATTCTAGTTGGCTGACCAGTAGAAACTATTCTAGTTGGCTCCTAAGTTATTTTGCTACAATCCTGATAGTCTTTTTGCTTATCTTGAACAATTCCTGCCCCAAACCCGAGAGCAACCATTTCTCCAAGGAGTCCTGGTTCTTTTCAGTGGAAATGGCATTTAGATGGTACAAATTGGACACTGCAGGTGTTCATTATTACTGAATCATTGCTTCTAGGCCTTCTCAGGATATAGCTAGGAAGTTTTTTAGGACAAAATATATCATGAGCTCACAGTTATACTTGCAATTTAAATTTAGAATATAGATTTTTTTTCTTATCATCATCAGTCATAAATCTGTATCTCTTTTATTCCACACTCAAAATCTTGATTCTCAAAGTGTTGATTCTCAACACTATTACTCATTTGTTTTATCCCACAGTGTACTTAAAATAGTTTCAGAACAACAATATCCACATAACCACCAATAATACAATAACATGGCTACTTTAAAATATTTTTAAAATAAAGTAATTAAAAAATACTTTATACTTCTTTGTCATTAGAGAACACCCACTGGAATGTCAAATTATTATGTTTTAGAGTCAGTTGAATAGTTTGGTTGGAGGCATTTTACATTTTTGTAATAAAAGTCCTTGTGATATGGTCTTTTATGGTTGAGAGAAAACTAAATTTGTCAGAGATATATATATCTGAGCAGAGTATTGTGTGGGCCGCTAGATTCTGAATTAAGAAGAGTGCTGTGTGGGCCTCTAGATTTTGAATTAAATGTAGAGCCAATTGGTACAGATGCCTTAGTGACACTGTTTGGATTCAGTACTTGTGTTAATTTCACTTGGCAAATACTAAAAGATAATGATTCCAGATATGCCTAGGGCTGCAAAAACATGATATGGCTATATCCCTTGGTTGCAATACCTTAAGGTCACAAAATTGTTAGTCCACAAAAGTATCTTTCTGAATCTCTTTCTCTCCATTTAGCTCTCCAACTCCCTCTCCCCTATGGATTAATAGCCTTCAAAAAAATTATATCTCCATGCTTCCTTCACCTTTTTGCCTTCTCCCCTAGCAACTCAGGCATTTTTATTTTTTGTGTGTTGATGCGGGGGAGAGAGGAGGAACTGCGGTACAGATTAAGGTAATGAAAATGGAGGCGGTAGGGGGACAGACAGCTGCAAGGATCTGAGCTGGATAGACTGAACAAACTCTGATCCTAAATAAGTTACAGCTCAGATTTCTTCTCTGGACAGCTGGTTTTTTTAGTCCTTCTGAAATACTCTGCAAAGATGGGGGAGGGGCTGTGAACTACCTCTGCGATGGATCTTATTTAAAGTCAGCTGCCTCCCATATACTTTTGTGCAAATTAAGTGTAATTATTTAGCATAGCAGGGATGAAGCTAGTAAATGAAAGGTATCCAACTGCCCACTATAACTGTTAAGATCAAGAGCTCATTATTGAGAATGCTGGAGGACTGCCTGGAGTAGGCAGCGACTGCAGTCATACAAGTTGGAATAGGATATCTTACTTGTCTGTCATATTTCTTTCCCCCTCCCCCACGTGGCACCCAATACTCCATATTCTTTCTGATCTTCCTACCCTCCACACTCCCCCCACTCCCACACCCTACCCCCACCAACGTTCCTGGAATTTTGGACTTAGCTATTTTTAAAACCGTCAACTCAGTAGCCACCTCCCTCCCCCGCTCAGCTGTCCAGTACTCCGGCCAGCCATATACTCTCCCTTCCCCCCACACCAAACCTTCTCTGGCTCCCTGACCTGAGTGAGACTGCAGCCGGCCTGGGGACCTGGGGGAGACATGGAGAAAGAGACAGGGGACCCCTGGCTGGAGCTGACCAACAGAGTAGGCAACCATGGCTGGAGAACTGGATATCAGAATAATGTTTGACCTCTGGAAACAGTAAGTCAAAATGAAATTGCAGTTCCTTTAATAAGCGTTCAGATTGAAGCTAGACTTTTATACAATTACAGACACCTTCTTGGATGTCTCTAATCCCAAAACTGGGCACCCTACCAAAGTGGACCCATCTCCATTTCTCCTTCTTTCTCTTTTCTTTCTGGCCTCTGACCTCTAGCCATTTGAAGTTTAATCCTCTGTCTCTCCTCTGGCAGTCCCAGTTCCCTCTTTACCCTGTTACCTCCAGACTTCTGATAAAGTTTTGGAGAAGGTTCTCACACCCTCTGATCTGTAGTTTTCTCACTAAGGCCAAATTTGACTCAGACAGATTAGTCACTGACACCCTTTTATCCTATCCCTACTTAGTAATGCCCTTCACATTGGGATTCCAAGAGTCAGGGCTGCCCCTTGTTATAAATGATTTATCCCTACAACTCGAATCCCTCCATTCTATTCTCTCTCCTGCATGAGGATCATATCCTCACCCCAAGAGAGAGGAGTTCACATAGGAGGTAGTTAGCCCCTCCTCAACCCCTGCCCTCATCAAAAGACAGAACTTCACATTTTGAAAAGGGGAGATTAATGGAAAGAGTGGCTCTTCAGCTAGGTTTGGAAAAATACAAGACTGTTGCCTTGGAAAAAACAAATATTGATTCGTATGTTTGATTTGCAACCCATTATTCCAAGAGAGAAGGGAATTAAAACTGCAGTTCCCTAGAGCTAATGAAAAAGATTGGTTCCCTTTTCACTTGAACACTGATGTCCTGGAGGGGATGGGTATGCCACTTTACTCCTTCCTGTGTTCTTCTGACATAAAGAAGTAAAAGAAATTAATGACTCCTGGAGGACATCTCCTCCTGATGGGGAAGGACAAATAAGAAGAATGTTTCAGAAGTATTTCCAACTCCTAATTCTATTGGGGAACCCATATGACTCCTATCTGATCTATCCCCATGATTCCTCCATTTTTGACATATCTGCTGTTTGGTAGCTCAAGATGGGGCAATACAGTGGACTCTGCCCCAGGAGTTCACTCAGCCTTCCCTCCACCCCCACCTAGGGGTGTTGCACAAGGGCCTGGAAAGTGGCCACAGGAGCAGGGCACAGAGGCTTAACAGGCACACTTATAGTTTGGGGAGCCCCAAACTCCAGTCCGCTCATCCTTTTCTTGATTTACTCAGATTTTCTTCACATCATCCTGACCAGTCTTCAACTCTTCTCTCTCCCCATGCCCAGCCAAATTTCTTTTTTCAGTCATTTACAGGACGTCCAGTCAAAATTCACTAGGTAGGAGGGTCATCAGCTGGGAAGAACCGGCGCCTGGGGGGACCTGGCTGGATAGGTATGGGGGAGCCAGGCCAGTCCCCTAGTCCTGGGTCCCCCCATGGCAGTCCCCCAACTCTAAGCACTCTCACTCTCCTGCTGCTCCTCTGTGGACATGGTAAGGAAGGGCCAGGGAAGGGCTTGGGGAAATCTAGAGGGTAGGCTGTAGGGGTGGGCAAGCGAGTGTATGGGAATGAGGAGAGATGGGTGCCGAGGAGTTCCTTTCACTCGCCCTACTCTCAAATAGGTATATTTTATATCCCATTCAAGTTGGGGAAGAGCACGGGGAAGCCCTTGGTCAACAGGGATAAGGGATGTATCGGGTTTATGCCTTTTTTGCAAGACTGAGTTCAGAGAGGGCCGGGGCCTGGGGGCAGGGGGCTGGGGGATGCGGACTGGGGAAGGCCCTTAGTCGGGTTTTAGGAAGGCTAGAATGCCTTGATGAGATTTGGAACTGTTATGAGCATACTCCCACAGAGCTGGGGACCGTCTCACAATCCTCTCCCTTCCGTCTTCAGCTCATTCTCAATGCAAGATCCTCCGCTGCAATGCTGAGTATGTATCGTCTACTCTGAGCCTTAGAGGTGGGGGTTCATCGGGGGCGCTCCGAGGAGGAGTCAGCGGCCGGGGTGGAGGGGTGGGCTCTGGCGGCCTCTGTCGAGCCCTCCGCTCCTATGCGCTCTGCACTCGGCGCACCGCCCGCACCTGCCGCGGGGACCTCGCCTTCCATTCGGCGGTACACGGCATCGAAGACCTGATGATTCAGCACAACTGCTCCCGCCAGGGCCCTACTGCCCCTCCCCCGCCCCGGGGCCCCGCCCTTCCAGGAGCAGGCCCCGGCCTTCCAGCCCCGGACCCTTGTGACTACGAAGGCCGGTTTTCCCGGCTGCACGGTCGTCCCCCGGGCTTCCTGCACTGCGCCTCCTTCGGGGACCCCCACGTGCGCAGCTTCCACCACCACTTCCACACGTGCCGTGTCCAAGGTGCTTGGCCCCTGCTGGATAACGACTTTCTCTTTGTCCAGGCCACCAGCTCCCCCGTGGCATCCGGGGCCAACGCTACCACCACCCGGAAGGTCAGGGACTCAATTTTCCTCCCGCCCCACCTCAAGATTCTCCCACTTCCCTCCATCCCCACTGTTCAACGGCAATGCTCCCTTTTCCCTTTCTTCCTTAACCACTCATCTGGAATCACTCCCTCCTACCAATCACTTTCCCTCAACGGGAATTTCACTCATGTGCAGAAAACACTGAAAAGCAGGGAGAGCCTCTATCGAGGCCTCCACTCCTATGGGCTCCGCACTCAGGGAGAGTAGACCTGGGGAGTTTCAGAAGGGAAACTTTTATCTCTCCTTGGAAGTTGCTGAGATTGAGTAAAGAGAGGGGTTAAGTAGGGATGAGGCAATATTGGCACATAAAAGGGAGGGGAGATGGAGGACTGGGGGTCATAAGAAACCTGACATCTGGCTTAAATCAGATCCCTGACTGTGTATGAGATCTGATTGGGGGGAGGATACACTGAGTCCAAAATGAACTCTTTTCCCTCTTGCCCTCACAGCTCACCATCATATTTAAGAACATGCAAGAATGCATTGACCAGAAGGTCTACCAGGCTGAGGTGGACAATCTTCCGGCAGCCTTTGAAGATGGTTCTATCAATGGAGGTGACCGACCTGGGGGGTCCAGTCTGTCCATTCAAACTGCTAACCCTGGGAGCCATGTGGAGATCCGAGCTGCCTATATTGGCACAACTATAATCATCCGGCAGACAGCTGGGCAGCTCTCCTTCTCCATCAAGGTAGCAGAGGATGTGGCCAGGGCCTTCTCCGCTGAGCAGGACCTACAGCTCTGTGTTGGGGGGTGCCCTCCAAGTCAGCGACTTTCTCGATCAGAGCGCAGTCGTCGGGGAGCTATAACCATTGATACTGCCAGACAACTGTGCAAAGAAGGGCTTCCAGTGGAAGATGCTTACTTCCATTCCTGTGTCTTTGATGTTTTAACCTCTGGTGATCCCAACTTTACTGTGGCAGCTCAGGCAGCTCTAGAGGATGCTCGAGCCTTCCTGCCAGATTTAGAGAAGCTGCATCTCTTTCCCTCAGATGCTGGAGTTCGTCTCTCTCCAGCAACCCTCCTAGCCCCACTGCTTTCTGGGCTCTTGGTTCTGTGGCTTTGCATTCAGTAAGTAGGCCATGACTACAGTAAGTAGGCAATCCCATGACTGGTTTGGAAATGATTTGAGGATAGAGATTAGCATGGAAGAACATTTTTAAAATCACTAAAGCAAACAGTGGGGACTAGGAGACACATGAAACAATGACATTTATCCGAAGTCAGATAAAGTTGCAGTCCAGGGTTGAAATGATCACAGAATAAGAATTTTGGGCAAGGTTTCTGCACTCCAGACCTCTGTGGGGTCTTCTCAACAACTTTTCCAGTCCCATTTTTAGTAAACAAGTTATTCCAATCCATTTACTGCAGAAATCACCCCTACAAACTTAGAGGTTATAGGTGGTCCTAATGATCAGAAAAGAATTGAAGGGTTGAAGTTTTTCAGAAGCCTATAAGAAACTCAAAAGAGGAGGAAATAATTAGGGAAATAAGTCTATTTGCTGAATATATGTGGATAAGGTATGTTCTGCTTTCTTGGTTCGGAAACAAAGTGGGTGTTGTCTGGATCTTAGGTGAAGGGAGTCTCTGCTTTTGGAGAATGGCACAGATAGAACAGAAGCTATCATCCCCTCTAGCCAATCTGTTATTAAAGCTATTAATTCTTCACACCATTCTCTGTTGCCTGTGTTGAATCTCTTTACAGATGCTTGAAATGAACACAATGTGTTCACTCCACTGAAAGAGGGCTCAGAAGTATCAGATACTTTTTCTGTCTTCAGAGAATTTACATACCATTGGAGAGACAAAACCAATTCTCATGAAAGAATGACTTGTGTGTAATTATTCATTAAATTCTATGGTACTGCGAATTCATATGGGAAGATGGTAGAGGAGAACTAAAGTAGTAAGAGTTATAAAAGATAATAGAGAAGATGTGATCTGAAGTGAGCTTTGAAGACTTGGTAGGATTTGCATTAAGGACCTTCTAGGTAACAAAAACCATCTGGAGCTATACATAGATTCATGATTAAATGAGGAAACTAGCAAAACTCAAATGCCGTAGACAAAGAGTAATGGGACAGGGATGTTAGATGAGCAGAGGTCAGATTATAAAGCACTTTGAAAGTGGGGTCAAAGAGTTTAAACTTGATTAATAGCTAAAATTTAATGGAGCTTAAAATCTGCCAGACAATGTTCTAAACACTTTTGAAACATTGATTTGTTTAATTCTCACAACTCTCTAAGGAAGGCGTTTTTGTTGTTTTGTTTTTTTTAGTTGGAGTCTCACTCTGTTGCCCAGACTGGAATGCAGTGGCAAGATCACAGCTCACCACAGCCTTGACTTCCGGGGCTCAGGCGATACTTCTGCCTCAGCCTCCTGAGTAGCTGGAACTACAGGCATATACCATCACGTCCAACTTTTTTTTTTTGTAGAGTCAAGGCCACACTGTGTTACCTAGGCTGGTCTTGAATTACTGGGCTCAAATAATCCTCTCACCTCAACCTTCCAAAGTACTGGGATTACTGGCATGAGACACCATACCCAAACAGGAAGGTGGTATTCTTATCTCTATTTTTATATACGGAAACTAAGGTACAAAAAAATTAAGCAGCTTGCCTACAGTCACACAGCAAATAAATGACAGAGCCAGAAATCGAACCCAAGCAGTTTGGATCCAGAAACTTAATACTTAACCACTACTATATTGTTAAGGAAATAGAGAGTCATTAAAGATTTTGGTTGTGGACCCATGCAGGAAAAGGAAGCCAAGGCAGTGGATGTCACTACAAAAGCTACTGTCTTCTAATAGGGAATCGGAACAGGCGAGAAAGCACACAATTGAAGAAATCTGATTTGTAGAAAAAAAGATGGAGAAGAGAAGCTATTATAGTCGAGGGTGTTCTAAAGTAGCAGTGCTGTTCTGAACAAAAGTATGACAGAGGCAATTTTATATTTAGTGTCTTTCCCCCTGTTTCTGGTCTCAGTCCCCCCCTTTCAGTACTCCATCACCTAGAGCCTGCCCTAATGTACTCACTGTTATCTTCCCCTCTCCTGTCGGTCCCACCCACCTGACAATACTTCTCTGAACACATATTATAGTCAGGCCCTCTATATCCACTAGTTTTGCATCCACAGATTCAAACAACTGTATGTCAAAAATATTCAGAAAAAAAGTTTAAAATAACAGTAATACAAAATAATGCCAATACAAATGAGTATAACAACTATTTACATTACCTTTACATTGTATTAGGTATTATAAATAATGTAGAGATGATTTAAAGTATACAGGAGGATGTGTATAGGTTATATGAAAACACTATGCCATTTTATATAGAGGACTTTAGCATCTTCAGGTTTTGGTATTCTTGGGGTAAGGGTGGTCCTGGAACCAAGTCCCCTAAGATACCGAGGGAAGACTACTGTATATACTGGCCATTGCTTACCAGACAAGGTGTCCTATGTGGTCTGCCATTTCCAATTTATTCTGCAATTCTTCATTCCCTAATTCCTCCTCTCCACCTCCTCTAAAGACCACAGCCACTCTGCCACTCCCTCAAAGTACAGTCTCTATGATTTCTGAAATAACCTTTAGCTAATTTAGAAAATAGTCTGTTCTAATGGAAAAAAATGGGGAAGGTAGGAGACATATCTAGGGGTGTCCCTTCACTTACGGATAATAAGGGCATTTTAACTCAAAACATCTTTTTAAAGAACTACTCTTACCTGGGCTCGGTGGCTCAGCCTGTAATCCCCCGCCTTTGGGAGGCTGAGGTGAGTGAATTGCCTGAGCCCGAGGGTTCAAGACCCACCTGGGCAGGCGAGACCTCATCTCTACAATAAATCAAAAAATTAGCCGGGTGTGGTAGCACGCGCCTGTAGTTCCAGCTACTTGGAAGGCTAAGGCGAAAGGATCGCCGGAGCCCAGCAGGTGGAGGCTGCGGTGGCCGGGAGCGGCCACTGCACTCCAGTCTGGGCGACAGAGTGAGACTCCAACTCAAAAAAAAAAAAAGAACTGCTCCTGCCGGGTTCGGTGGCTCAGCCAGTAATCCTTGGGAGGCCGAGGTGAGTGAATTGCCTGAACCTGCGGATTCGAGACCTGCCTGGGCAACTTGGCAAGACCTCATCTCTACAATAAAATAAAAAATTAGCCAGGCATGGTAGTGCGTGCCTGTAGTTCCAGCTACTTGGAAGGCTGAGGTGGAAGGATCGCCAGAGCCCAGCAGGTCGAGGCTGCAGTGGCCGGGAGCAGCCACTGCACTCCAGTCTGAGTGACAGGTGAGACTCCAACTCAAAAAAAAAAAAAGAACTGCTCCTTGATTCTCTTAAATCGAAAGAGTAGGCTGGGCACAGTTGTTCAAGACTGTAATCCCAGCACTTTGGGAGGCCGAGGCGAGAGGATTGCCTGAGTCCAGAGGTTCGAGACCAGCCTGGGAAACTTGGTGAGACTTCATCTCTACAATAAATAAAAAAAAAAAATTCACTCTGTAGTTCCAATTACTTGGAAAGCTGAGGTGGAAAGATCACCTGAGCCCAGCAGGTTGAGGCTGCAGTGGCCATGAGAGTACCACTGCACTGCAGCCTGGGCAACAGAGTGAGACTCTAACTCAAAAAACAAAAAGAGAGAGAGAGTCCGGGCACGGTGGCTCACGCCTATAATCCCAGTCCTTTGGGAGGCCAAGGTTAGAGGACTGCCTAAGCTCACAGGTTTGAGACCAGCCTGGGCAACTCAGCAAGACCTCATCTCTACAATAAATTAAAAAATTAGCCAGGCGTGGGGGCACACTCCCATAGTTCCAGCTACTTGGAAGGCTGAGGTGGTAGGAGCACCTGAGCCCACCAGGTTGAGGTTGCGGTGGTCATGAGCGTGCCAGTGCACTCCAGTCTGGAAGACTGAGTGAGACTCCAACTAAAAAAAAAAAAGAAAATCGAAAGAGTAACTTTACCAGTCTGAGCAACACATCAAAAATTCATCTCTACAAAAAAATTAAAAAATTAGCTGGATATGATGGCTTTCACCTGTAATCCCAGCTACTTGGGAGGTTGAGGCTGGAGGATCACCTGAGCCCAGGAGGTTGAGCTGCAATGAGCCATGAGCATGCCACTGCACTCCAGCCTGGGTGACAGAGTGAGACCCTGATTCAAAAAAAATAAAAAAGTAGATTTAACCCTCAGGTGTGGGAATTTCTTTTTTTTTTTTTTTTGAGTTGGAGTCTCACTCTATCGCCCAGACTAGGGTGCATTGGCCGCTCCCGGCCACTGCAGCCTCGACCTACTGGGCTCCAGTGATCCATCCGCCTCAGCCTTCCAAGTAGCTGGAACTATAGGTGCGCGCTACCATGCCCGGCTAATTTTTGATTTATTGTGGAGATGAGGTCTCGCCAAATCGCCCAGGCAGGTCTCGAACCTGTGGGCTCAGGCAATTCACTTCACCTCAGCCTCCCAAAGGCATGGGATTACAGGCTGAGCCACCGAGCCCGGCTAGGTGTGGGAATTTCAAGTCAATTAAAAAAGAATTCCACAGCCAACTGGTGAATAAAATTATTTTACAGGTACCTGTCATGTAACACTCTTCCTTTACCCAGAACTTGGGTTAGCCTTATTACCAACAGTATTTAAAAATAGGTAGCTCAAAATAAGCACATGAAAAGATGCTCAACCTCATTAGTCATTAGGAAAATGCATATAAAGCTGAAACACAACAAGAAAATACTACACACCCACTAGAATAGTTAAAATTTAAATGACTGATAATACCACTGTTGGCAAGATGTGGAGTGCTCGTACACTGCCAGTGGGAATGCAAAATGGTACAACCACTTTGTAAAAAGATTTGGCAGTTCCTTAAAAGGTAAGTATGGGCTGAGGTGAGAGGATTGCCTGAGCCCACGGATCTGAGATCAGCCTGGGTAACTTGGCAAGACCTTATCTCTACAATAAATCAAAAACTTAGCCATGCATGGTAGTGCATGCCTGTAGTTCTGACTACTTGGAAGGCTGAGACAGAAGAATCACCTGAGCCCAGCAGGTCGATGATGGGGTGGCTGTGAGCATGCCACTGCACCCCAGCCTGGGTGATGGAGTGAGACTCCAACTCAAAAAAAAAAAAAAAAGGTAAGCATGTATGTGTATTTACCATAAAATTTTACAATCTAGACATTCCTAAGTATTGACCCAGGAGAAATGATAACATATGTCTGCACAAAACATTGTACAAAGTTACTCAAAACAATTGTATCTGCAATAACAAAACTGAAAACAACCTAATGTCCATTAACAAGTGAA